CCTGCTGGAGACCCCAGCTGGGAATCTGGCCCAAAGCGTTTTATCCTGGGTTGTACTGGTCACCCACGTCCCCAGCCCCAAGCACATGTACTATCTCCCCGCAGCTTGTGAGCTTGATGGGCCATCCCCCACATCTGAGGGGGAACGTACTCGCAAGACCCCTGTATCTTCTGCTGCCATCTCTTGGTTGCCTTGGCAATGGTCTTAGCATGAATACAGCAAGCCCTTTGTAAGAATGAGCCGGGGCTCGTTAGTGCCTGGGACTCCCCAAACGTGCTGTATGTAGGCGCTTACTTTAGGGTTGTTAACCTCTGGACCTTGCTGCAGCAGGATATCCTGGAAGCTGAGGGAGGCCCTAGTGGCTAGAGCACTGAACTGGGTTCTAATCCCGTTTTGACCACCCGCCCGCTGGGTAACCTTGGGCACGTCACTGCATCTCTTTGTGCGCCAGATTCCATCTGTAAAATGGCCTGAAATATCGGCCTCCTTTGTAAGGTGCCCTGAGATTAACTGATGACAAGCGTCAGAGAAGAGCTAGGGGTTGTGTTTTTCTGTGACTAGCCCTGGCATATGCCAGGACACTGGTGAGGATGCTAGTGACAGCTTGAGGGCACCATCAGATCAGCTGCTGGGGTTCCAGAGCTGTCCCCGTCCCCTGTGCAGCACTGCAGAGCTGGGTGTGTTTCATGGGGGCTTAGGGCTTCCTCTGAAATATCCTGCACCAACACTGGGGAGATCTGCCCGCTGCCTGGGATGGCCAGGGGTGGGATGCCAGGCTGGTGGTCCATTGGCCAGGCCCCTTCCCTGCTGTGCACAGGAGCCTCGCCTGGCCGGGTTGGTGGCTGCTGATCATATTACACTGAGCCCTGGCCAAGAGGCTCTGAGGACGGTTTTGTTCTCTCCTTGCTCTGAAACCCAACCTGAGCCTTGTTCCCACCAGTTCAAAGAGGAACCTGATGCCAGGCAGCAGCATGCGGAGCCAGGGGGCTGTTTGGGCCAAACACAGCAGCGCTGGGGGGTGCAGCTGCAATTCCAGTGGAACTAGGGTGACCAGATGTCCCGATTTTATAGGGACAGTCCTGATATTCAGGGCTTTTTCTTATATAGGCATCTATTACCCCCCACCCCCGTCCCAATTTTTCACATATGCTGTCTGGTTACCCTAAGTGGAACTTTCCACTTGCATGAGAGGAAAGTGATCAGGAACAGCCAGCATGGATTCACCAAGGGAAGGTCATGCCTGACTAATCTAATCGCCTTTTATGATGAGATTACTGGTTCTGTGGATGAAGGGAAAGCAGTGGATGTATTGTTTCTTGACTTTAGCAAAGCTTTTGACACGGTCTCCCACAGTATTCTTGTCAGCAAGTTAAGGAAGTATGGGCTGGAAGAATGCACTATAAGGTGGGTAGAAAGCTGGCTAGATTGTCGGGCTCAACGGGTAGTTATCAATGGCTCCATGTCTAGTTGGCAGCCGGTATCAAGTGGAGTGCTCCAAGGGTCGGTCCTGGGGCCGGTTTTGTTCAATATCTTCATAAATGATCTGGAGGATGGTGTGGATTGCACTCTCAGCAAATTTGCGGATGATACTAAACTGGGAGGAGTGGTAGATACGCTGGAGGGGAGGGATAGGATACAGAAGGACCTAGACAAATTGGAGGATTGGGCCAAAAGAAATCTGATGAGGTTCAATAAGGATAAGTGCAGGGTCCTGCACTTAGGACGGAAGAACCCAATGCACAGCTACAGACTAGGGACCGAATGGCTAGGCAGCAGTTCTGCGGAAAAGGACCTAGGGGTGACAGTGGACGAGAAGCTGGATATGAGTCAGCAGTGTGCCCTTGTTGCCAAGAAGGCCAATGGCATTTTGGGATGTATAAGTAGGGGCATAGCGAGCAGATCGAGGGACGTGATCGTTCCCCTCTATTCGACATTGGTGAGGCCTCATCTGGAGTACTGTGTCCAGTTTTGGGCCCCACACTTCAAGAAGGATGTGGATAAATTGGAGAGAGTCCAGCGAAGGGCAACAAAAATGATTAGGGGTCTGGAACACATGAGTTATGAGGAGAGGCTGAGGGAGCTGGGATTGTTTAGCCTGCAGAAGAGAAGAATGAGGGGGGATTTGATAGCTGCTTTCAACTACCTGAAAGGGGGTTCCAAAGAGGATGGCTCTAGACTGTTCTCAATGGTAGCAGATGACAGAACGAGGAGTAATGGTCTCAAGTTGCAGTGGGGGAGGTTTAGGTTGGATATTAGGAAAAACTTTTTCACTAAGAGGGTGGTGAAACACTGGAATGCGTTACCTAGGGAGGTGGTAGAATCTCCTTCCTTAGAGGTTTTTAAGGTCAGGCTTGACAAAGCCCTGGCTGGGATGATTTAACTGGGAATTGGTCCTGCTTCGAGCAGGGGGTTGGACTAGATGACCTTCTGGGATCCCTTCCAACCCTTATATTCTATGATTCTATGATTCTAACCGTCCCCTGAGCTGGACCTGGGGTGATAGCCACTGGGCTTGCAGGGCTTGCCTGGCCCTGGGCCTCCAGCATTTCCCAGCTGCCACTGTGGTGGTGCATGCAAATGGTGTGGATTCCTAGAGCCGTCCTACTGGAGGGATCCCTGGATCCCTCCATCCCCCTGCATTTCCTCCTTATTTCAGTGCTCTGGCTGGTCTGCCTCGCTGGGCTCCCCACAATGGACCAGGCACAGCCGGGCCCCTGAGGCCACCCCCTCCAGAGCCAGCCTCTGCCTTCCCAGCCTGGCTGAAGAACAGCTTATCTTGTCCCGTGGGGCCTCAACAAACGGCCAGGTGCCTTGTGAATGGGGAGGGATGTCCCAGCAGCAAGTATGGGCCTGTCCTCTCCGCCGCAGCGCTGGGCCGCGCCCAGGAGCAGGAGCCGGGGCCAGCAGTGCTCACAGAGGACAAAGGAAGATAAATGTTTCCCTGGCGGGGGCCTGGGGCTCAGTGGGTGAAGAACACTGGGTAACGCACAGAGCCTGCAGCCCCTGGCACTTGCTTCAGGGACCAGCTGCCCTGGTCTCTCTGGATTCTCGTGCTGGATCAGGGATCCCAGCTCTGCCCCCTCTCACCCCCCACCCCCTCACCCCTCTGGCTCACACATCTTGCTGGTGCCGCTCAGTCCTGACCTTGCACCCTCCAGTCCCAGCTCTGTTTTGGGACCCGCAGCCCCCCGTAATCCCCACCCTTGTTCTCCTCTGCATGCTGCCATCTGGAAAGCGGAGCTGCTGCTCCGGGGCCCTGACTCGGTTCCACCATCCAGCTGTAGCTGACACCTGAGACCCAGCTAGTCTTTAAATAATGGTCACTCTGGCAAACCTAATCTCCTGAGCTCCCCTGAGAGAGCAGCTGTGACATTAGCCTGTGGGCCCAGTTCCCGAGGGACCCCAGCTTTCAAAAGGGCCATTCGGGAGCAGGGAGGTCACTGGCTAGCATTCCCTGGGGCATGCGGAGACCGTCTCCTTCTGGATCTACCTTCTCCATTTGTCTCTGCCCGGAGGAGAGGCCAAAGCAGAGGTCGGTCCCTGCTAGACAATCTGTGCCCCGTACAAGCCGGCAGAGATCTCCCTGCCCCATCTCGCTGCTCATTGCTCCCTGGAGTGCAGCTGAGCTCCAGTTTAGCACGGTCTAATTGCCAGCCAAGCCCCCAGGGGCCAGCCTGTCTCACATCTCGGAATCAGGTCAGTTATTAAAAGGCTACAAACCCTGAGCCCCAGGGGAGGATAGCAGCAAACAAGGAGACTGAGAGAGGGAAGGACAGGAGCCATGCCAGGGCCGGGGGCAAGATAGAGCCAGGAACTGTACCAGCATGGGGGGCACGATGGAGCTGGGAGTTGTGCTAGGTTGGGGGTGGGGGGGTGATGGAGAAGTGAACCATGCCAGGGCAGGAGGGGGCGTGATGGAGCTGGAAGTCATGCCTGGGGGGGCTGTGTGTGTGTGTGGGGGGGGGGGGATGATGGAGCCATGCCAGGGCGGGGGCATGGCAGAGCTGGGAGCTGAACCAGGGCAGGGGGTGATGGAGCCATGCTAGGGCAGAGGGCGTGATGGAGCCGGCTGTCACGTGGCGCTCCCCTGATGTCAGCAGTGACGCTGGTGGGAGAATGTTCAGCAGAACAGATCCCTCTCGGAAAACACCTTTTTGACTAAAACCAATTTTATTTATTTATTTATTTATTTATTTATTTTTTGCAAACTTGTGTCTGTTTTGACAAAAAATACATTTTGGAAAATGGTGGGGAGAAGCTGTGACCAAAGCAGCCCTTCCTGCTTTGCCAGGGCTGGAACCAGAGGTTCCATGGTTTGTTTTCAAAAGGCCGTTTCATTTAGAAAGTGGCTGTGTTTTATATATAAACCGAATTTCACATTAAAACATGGCCAATATGGAAACAAACCGTTCGGACTGACCCCAAATTGGGACAGTGCCACTTCCCAGGCCACACAGCTGCCAGCTGGCACAGAGTGTCTGTACCCCCAGCACCCTTCGATTGGGTTTTGGAGCTGCCCAGCTGGCCCCTCCTGGCTCCGTCCCCCGGCGGGCGGCCTCGGGGTGTCTCAGCCTGTTGGGGAGCCTCTTGAGTCAGGGACTCTCCAGGAGGTGCAATCCCGGCGCCACAGGGAGCTGCTTACCCCGCAGAGAGCGGAATGGCCCCCTGCCCCAGCCGGTCTCCCTGGGAGATGGTCGGTCTCTACACAGCCTGGTCAGTGGGGCAGGCTGGGGGGGGCTGTCCTCAGAGACCCAATGGAGGTTCATTTCACTGCCATCCTGTTGTAGAAGGTGTATGGCAGCCCAGCGCATGCCGCAGCCCAGGTGCCCGCTACGCCATCCCTCGTCCCCCCCGATTGCTGCGCTGGGACACGCGGCTTCCCAAGGAGAGTGGGGGGTCGCAGCGTGTGGGGCAGGCGGGCCTGATCCTAGGGCTGCCCAGGAAAGGAGGCTGGCAAGTGGCCATGCCCTGCTGACTCCTGGCACCCGGTGTCCCGGCAGGTAGCGGTGCTCATGGACCCCATGGAGGACCCCGAGGACATCCTGCGAGCCAACCGCTCCCGCGAGAAATCCTATGTCTTCGACGTGGCCTTTGACTTCACGGCAACTCAGGTGAGGAGCTGGGCCCCTGGAATCCTGCCGGGCTCGAAGCCCTTCATATGGGCCACCCAGCCCTGAGCCTGGAGGATTGGGGGGTCCTCGGCGGGGGACCTTGCTATCCCAGCATCCTCAGTCCCCACCCTGCCCCTCCCCATCTGCGCGACACAGTGGCTATGGCAGCAGGTGCTCAATGGCGGCCGGGCAGCGGGGCTGGGCCAGGCCGGGGGCTGGGCCAAGCTGGGCCCTGGGTCTGGTTTCAGCAGTTCCATTTCATGCTAATGTCCACAATACGCTGACACTGGGGAGGCTGCCCCCATCAAATGCCCCCCGCTTCCTTGTAACCACCAAGACAAGCGGGGGCAGGGAGAGCGTGGGGGGGTACTGTGCATCCCCTCTCCTCCAGTGCCCAGAGACCTGCCCTTCAGCAGGTTTCTGAGCCCCTCATTGGCCCCAGGTGGCGGGGAAGGGAATTGGAACTCATCTAGTGGATGGAATCAGAGCTGCCCAGCTGTGTGTCAGCAGCCCTATACTGCTCCCTGTTGGTGGCGATTCTCCTGCACCTTGGGTGGCAGGAGCCAGGGCATGGAGCACAGGAGTGTCTGAGCTCTGTCCCTGCGCGCTGGGTGAGCACAGGTCTGTCCCAGCACACCAGGGCGTGTGCCTCATCGTGGGGCATGCCGGGAGGGTTAGGGTGGTGGCTGCATGCAGGTGGGTGAGTGGAGCAGAGGAAAGGCCCGTAACGGTGGCTGGACAGCTGCGGAGGGGTCTGGGACCCGGGGGGAAGCTGGATGGTACATGCGCACCCCACATTTTCAGTTGAGGGGAGTTTGGTCCAAAGGTAATTGCCTCGGTGTTGTGGAGGGGGGAGATGACAGGACACGGGGGTGGGGGGAGAATCCTGACATGTCTGTCTGCACCGCCTCCCCACCGAGGCCTGTCACCTCCCGTGCTCTCCGGCTGCAGGAGATGGTCTATCGCGCCACCACCAAGGGCCTGATCGAAGGTGTCATCTCTGGGTACAACGCAACCGTCTTCGCCTACGGCCCCACCGGTAAGGGCCGCCCCACGCTGGGAACGCTTGCCCGCAGGGGCCAAGGCAGGGAGCCACACGGGGCAGGGAGCCACCCGCGCCTCTGGCCAAGAAGGCAACGTTTCGGCCTCGCCACGGGGGTAGCGGGAGGGCAGGGTCTGGGAGGGACCCAGGGCCTGCGGGCTCCCAGTTCTGGCACTAAGGAGTCGGCTCAGAGCCACAAAGGGGAGGGTGCAGCATGAAGCAGATGTCCACGGGGGATGCCTGCGAGCCACTGGTGGCCGGGTCCCCGTCCCCATCCCACCCAGCACAGACCCACAGGGGATGCCCCGTCCCCTCCCCGCCTAGCACAGACCCATGGGGTCCCCTGTCCGGCAGAGAGCCCTGACTGCCTTCCTGCTGCCCCCCAGGCTGCGGGAAGACGTACACCATGCTGGGCACAGACCGTGAGCCCGGCATCTACGCACGCACCCTCCATGACCTCTTCAGAGCCATTGAGGAGACCAGCGATGACATGGAGTATGAGGTGTCGATGTCCTACCTCGAGGTAAGGCCCAAGTGTGTAAGGACAGGCAGGTTGTGTGTTTGGTGCTCCTACAGGGTGTATCTGGTGTGTGTGTGTGTACAGGTGGGTTGTGTATGTATGGTGTGTGTGGGGCTCATACAGGTTGTGTCTGTATAGTGTGTGTGTATGGACGGGCGGGTTCTGTGTTTGGTGCTCATGCAGGGTGTGTCTGTGTAGTGTGTGTGTGTGTGTGTGTATGGATAGGCGGGTTGTGTGTGTGTGGTGCTCATACCGGGTGTATCTGGTGTGTGTGTGTGTGTGTATGGAGGGGCAGGTTGTGTGCATGTGGTGTGTGTGGTGCTCATACAAGGTGTATCTGTAGAGTGTGTGTGTGTGTATGTGGACAGGTGGGTTGTGTGTGTACGGTGCCTGTGGTGCTGATACAGGGTGTGTTTGTGTGTGTGTGTGTGTGTGGACAGGTGGGTTGTGTGTGTGTGTGGTGCTCATACAGTGTGTGTTGTATAGTGTGTGTGTGGATAGGTGGGTTGTGTGTGTGTGTGGTGCTCATACAGTGTGTGTTGTATAGTGTGTGTGTGTGGATAGGTGGGTTGTGTGTGTATGGTGTCTGTGGTGTTGATACAGGGTGTGTTGTATAGTGTGTGTGTGTGTGGACAGGTGGGTTGTGTTGTACGGTGTCTGTAGTGCTGATACAGGGTGTGTTGTATAGTGTGTGTGTGTGTGTGGATAGGTGGGTTGTGTGTGTATGGTGTCTGTGGTGTTGATACAGGGTGTGTTGTATAGTGTGTGTGTGGATAGGTGGGTTGTGTGTGTAGGTGCCTGTGGTGCTGATACAGGGTGTGTTGTATGTGTGTGTGGAAGGTGGGTTGTGTGTGTACGGTGCCTGTGGTGCTGATACAGGGTGTGTTTGTGTGTGTGTGGATAGGTGGGTTGTGTGTGTACGGTGTCTGTGGTGCTGATACAGGGTGTGTTGTATAGTGTGTGTGTGTGTGGGGACAGGTGGGTTGCGTGTGTGTAGTGCTCATACAGTGTGTGTTGTATAGTGTGTGTGTGTGGATAGGTGGGTTGTGTGTGTACGGTGTCTGTGGTGCTGATACAGGGTGTGTTGTATAGTGTGTGTGTGTGTGTGTGTGGACAGGTGGGTTGCGTGTGTGTAGTGCTCATACAGTGTGTGTTGTATAGTGTGTGTGTGTGTGTGGATAGGTGGGTTGTGTGTGTACGGTGTCTGTGGTGCTGATACAGGGTGTATTGTATAGTGTGTGTGTGTGTGGGGACAGGTGGGTTGCGTGTGTGTAGTGCTCATACAGTGTGTGTTGTATAGTGTGTGTGTGTGTGTGTGGATAGGTGGGTTGTGTGTGTACGGTGTCTGTGGTGCTGATACAGGGTGTGTTGTATAGTGTGTGTGGACAGGTGGGTTGCGTGTGTGTAGTGCTCATACAGTGTGTGTTGTATCGTGTGTGTGCGCACACGTGTGTACAGACAGGCAGGTGGGGTGTGTAACGTGCATTCGTGTGTACAGTCTGGGAGGTGCCAGGGACTGGGGGGACTTGGCTTTCCCTTTCCCCAGCTCACGTGGAGCCCCCGGGGTCGCTCCACCTTCTCTGCCCGTCTCAGTCGCTGGCTTTGTGGTCCAGCGAGCACCCGCTCTGTGCCCCGCGGGCAGATAATCGCCGTGGTAACGCACGGGGACTCGCTGCCTGCATGGGCTACCACAGTATTGACACAGGCAGCCAGGCTGCCCGGGAGGAACCACCCACAAAGACTCCCTGGGAGCCAGGCAACGGGGCCGGGGTGGCCGAGAGGATAAATATCCGGGAGTGGGGCCTGGGCAGGGACCAGGGGCGCGTCCAGCTCCCTCGTGCAGCTGGGCCCCAGCCCAATCCTGCCGCGGGCCTGGTCCAGAGGGTCAGGGCTGAGGGCAGCGTGCCAGCTCCTGGAACCTCATGGCAGGGCTGCTAAGGGGCAGCGCTACAGGGCAGGGTGGGGAGCAGATGCTGGGCCTGAGGGAGCTCACAGGTGCCAAGGAGCAAAGGACCCTCATGTTCCTTCTCTGAGCTGTTCAGCCCCAGTGGTGTGGGGGGCTGGGAGCCTGATCCGGGGCTGGGGCCCTGGGGTCTCTAAACCATCAGCACTCGCCAGCCGCTGTCAGGGCCCAGGCAAGACTCTGCCCAGAGTCAGGGCAGGAGCCCGACAGCTGCCAACACCCAGCGGAGGGGATTGGCCCTTCCCCGAATATCAGCTGCATTTCCCTGCTGCCGCCTGGCACTCTGCCTGGCCCCCCGAAGGTGGGGGTGCCCTTGGCTTGGGGGAAGGTGGGGCCCTTCCTTGGCATTTTCCACGCTGGCCCCCATTGTGGGCACTGGCATGGCAGGGCTTGATCCCAAGAGCCAAGCACCCAGGGCTGATGGGGAGCGAAGCCAGGCTGACTGTGGAGGGTGCATTGGGCTCTCTGGTGTGGGCAGGGTGTGGCCAGCCCAGATGGGTGGGGTGGGGCAAAATGTCATGCCAGACTCCTGCAGCTCACCCCTGCCGTGGCCAAAGATATAGAAGGGGGTTCTTTGGCTGCCGCTCTCCCTCCCCCGTGCCAACCCCCTCCCGCTGCGACTAGATCTACAACGAGATGATCCGGGACCTGCTCAACCCGTCGCTGGGCTTCCTGGAGCTGCGGGAGGACGCCAAGGGAGTGATCCAGGTGGCGGGGATCACGGAAGTCTCCACCATCAACGCCAAGGAGGTGAGCGTGGGGCACAGACCCCGGCACGACTTTCAATCCTGCAGCTCCCCTTGTCTCCAGCCCCCCCTACACACGGCCTCTCCTGGCCTCGAGCGTAGGAGCCTAGAGACTCGCCCCCTGCCTGGGCGCCAGGCCAGTGGAGCTGGGTCTGGAGTAGCCGTGGTCAGGCTGTGGGCCATGAGTGCCCTGCCCGGCAGTCCCCTCCTCTGAGTCCTGTCAGCGCACTGTCCCAGCACGGCCCCAGAGCCCTCCCCTCACCTGGCACGGTGCTGAAGTGACATCCTGCGAAGGGGGGCTACGAAACCCAGGGACACTATTAGGGCACTGGTGGGGTGTGCACTGACCCGGCGCGGCAGGCTGGGGGGTGGAGGGGAACGAACGTCCAGGGACACAGGCTGTATGTGCTGCAGGGGTGCCCAGCGGAGATGCGAGGCTGCCACGTGCAGCGGGGTGCTGGAGGGACTGGGTGGCAGAGCGACTGGCTGTGTCCCACTCTGCCCCCCTCTCAACCTGCCCACCATCGCCCTCTTGCCCCCTTGCCGCCCCGCAGGTCATGCAGCTGCTGCTGAAGGGGAACAAGCAGAGGATGCAGGAGCCCACGGCCGCCAACCAGACGTCGTCGCGGTCCCACGCTGTGCTGCAGGTCACCGTCCGCCAGAAGCCCCGCATCAGGAACATCATGCAGGAGGTGCGGGTGGGGCGGCTCTTCATGATCGACCTGGCTGGCTCCGAGAGGGCATCTCAGGTACGGGGAGGGGGTTCCAGGGGGGCAGCCCAGCGGTGCCAGCAGCCGGTTGGTGCACAGGGGAGAACACTTCCACGCTCTGTGGGGTAGAGGGGCAACAAGAGGGTGAATGTACAGCGATGTGGGCACATGCCGGGGGCAGGCTCTCGAGTGGGGTGGAGAGGATCAGTCTGGGTGCTGCAGCAGGTTTTGTCCTGGGGACGTGGCAGTAGCATGATGCATTGAGGGGATGTGGCCTCGTGGTCTGGGCATGGGGCTGGGAGCCAGGATGGTGCGGTTCTAACCCCAGCGCCACTGCAGCCTGGCTGTGGGGCCGCGGTCGAGCCACGTTCCCTTGCTGCGACTGTGAGACAGGGCCGACGACCCTGCTCTGGGAGCTGGGGCTTTGCAGATCCCAGCGAGGGGGTCACTGAGGCCAGGAGACAGGCTCCGACATGATCAGTCGCAGAAGGCAGGGTTCAGGGGCTCCACTCAAGGGATGGCTCCCCCCAAATTGCCAGGGCCCCCCAAGTCTGTGGGGTGGGGCTGGCCCCTCCATCTCCTGAATGGAGAGAGAGGGAACTTGCGAAAGGCAGGACAAAGAACCCACCCCAGTGCCCAGGAAGCTGGGCAGGCCAAATGTATCCACCTTGGTCTAGGTCGGACATCCCCTGTGTGGTGTGCTGTGCTGCGGGTACACGGGCGAGCCAGGGCTGGACTAGCAGGGGGCAGTGGGTCGGAACTGAGGGGCACCAGCACAGGTGGGTGATGGACCAGGGGTAGGTCAGGCCGACGGGCATGATAACACACACGCTGCCTCCCACCCGGTGTGCCAGCAATGGATACCTTCGGCCCCTAGAGACCGTGGTGATTGGCGCTTCCAGGGGGACGTGGGTCAGACTATACGTTTGATGGGCACCAGCAGAGCTGTGCGTGGGGTGCCCAGGGCTGGAGTCACCAGCTTTGGGGCTGGATCAGTCCTGAGGGTAGGTCCCTCATGTGCCATGGTCCCACGCGACTATGTGTGCCGGGTTCGGCTGCAGTCTGTGCTCCCTGGGGCTGCGTGGGGGACTGGAGCCCTTGCTCCCGGATCCGCTCTGCCCACGCAGTCCTGGTGCCAGGCAGAACAATGGACTTCACCAGCTGGTGCTGCTCCGGTTTAGTCAAGCTCACAGCGCCCCCTAGTGCCGCAGGCTTGGGGTTGGCCCTCTTCTAGACCAATCCCCGTTTCCACACTCCATTTACTGGGCACAGCGCGTGTTTCAGGGGAGGCTCTGGCAGTTTCCAGTAGGGGGGCAGGTCAGATGACCTCGGCTTTCCCTTTCCCAGCCTGGACTCCTGGCTGGTTCATGCAGTTGCTTCGCCTGCGGCTTGTGGAAAGGTGGCACCTGCGGGGGAAGTGTGAGTGCTGGGTTAGGAGATGTCACGGAAGTGCTGCCCGCAAGCCGTGGGGTCTGCTGGAGGTCCCCGTGCGTATAGGCTATTGTTGTCGGGTCATTTGTGGGCACTGGGCTGTGCACACTGATTTGTTATCTAGGGTTGCGTGTGTGTTTGTTATTGTAGGGTTGCTTGTTTGCTTGTTGGTGCTCAGAGCTGGGCTGTTGCCTTTGATTTTCTCTCCTTTAAAAAGAAAAAAGACCATTTAAGTGGGGGGGGATGGATGTTTCCAAGCAGCCAAACACCCCTAGTCACGAGCGCTTTGCCAGTGGAGGAGTGGGACCCTTGGCCACGCCATGCTGCGCCATGCCCTGCAGGGGGTGCTGGCGAGGGCCCCAGTGGGAGCTGTTGTGTGGGTACCGAACCTGCGCCTTCCCCGATGCCTGTGCAGCCCATCGCTCTGCCGGGCGTTGTCATGTCCAAGCCGACTCTTCCGTGTGCTGCTAGGCGCCTGCAAGCCGGGGGTGTGCTTGGGAGTGGCCATGCACAAAGCCCCACGTGCCCCTCCCCCAGGGCTGGCCCCGAATCTCTGCCTCACACCCTTGCCCTGCCCCCACAGACCCAGAACCGTGGGCAGAGGATGAAGGAGGGAGCCCACATCAACCGCTCGCTGCTGGCCCTGGGGAACTGCATCAATGCCCTGAGCGACAAGGGGGCCCCCAAGTACGTCAACTACCGTGACAGCAAGCTCACCCGCCTCCTGAAGGTACAGCAGGACGAGCGCCCGCCGGACCCTGGGCCAGGGCGGGGCGATCAGCAGCACCTTGCAGCGGGCAGTTGGGGTGCAGGCCCGGGGAGGGGACCCAGGGCTGGAGCACCCCAGCGTGAGTGATACGGCTCCAGCTCTGCACAGCTCGGTCTGGCCCATGTCAGCCCAGGTGCCGTGTGTGCCAGGAGGTCGGGACCACCGCGGCGTGGCCAAGGGGCCAGAATAGCGCAGGCTCCTAGGGCCAGGCTGGGGGTGGGCAGACGGGCCTGGGCCCAGCTCGTTCCGGTTCCAGTGCCTGGGGCAGAGGCCTGGGGATAGGGCTGCAGCCTCCGGCCCTGGCAGACACCCAGCCCCACGATCCTCTGTCGCCAGGACTCCCTCGGGGGCAACAGCCGCACAGTCATGATCGCCCACATCAGCCCTGCCAGCAGCGCCTTCGAGGAGTCCCGCAGCACCCTCACCTACGCCGACCGCGCCAAGAGCATCAAAACCACGGTACTGCTGGCACCCGGCCTGGGGCACCCAGCGCCCCGCCCTCCCTTCCCCCACCCAGCGCCCCACCCTCTGTCCTCTCACCGGGCGCCCCGCCCTCCCTTCCCCCACCCGGCGCCCCACCCTCTGTCCTCTCACCGGGCGCCCCGCCCTCCCTTCCCCACCAGGGGCACCTGGCATCCTGATCCTCCCCCTTGCCTGGGCACCCAGCACCCCGCCCTCCTGCCTTCTAGGAGAGACCCGCCCCCCTTCCCCGGGAGCAGCCGGGGTGCGGTGCTGGCGGGAGTCGCCTCCCCAGCGCGCTGACCCTTCGCCCCGTCTCCGCAGGTGAAGCGGAACCTGCTCAATGTCTCATACCACATTGCCCAGTACACCAGCATCATCTCGGACCTGCGCAGCGAGATCCAACGCCTCAAGTGCAAGATCGACGCGCCGGGGCCGCGCCCGGCCCGGGGCGAGCGGGGTGACATCCGCCACATCCAAGGTAACGCCGGCGGGGCCGGCCCTCCCCGCTGCCAGGCCCGTCACCGCTCACGGGGCACGGGCTGCGCCTGCCCCGATCACACTGCCCCACACCGAGCTGGTACCGCTCCCTGCTCCCGCCGGAGCCAGGTGCTGGGCTCCCGGCCGTGCCCCCATCCCGGAGGAGGGCAGCTGGGCGGCCGTGCCCCCACCCCGGAGGAGGGCGGTTCTGATGACCCAGGAGGGATCCCTGCATGCCCCCATGCGTGCGATGCCCTGGGGACGGCGGCTGCTCTGTGCGTGCCCTATCCGGCAGGAGGCGCCCCCGCAGTGACCAAACCCACCCCTCGTGTGTTACAGCCGAGGTGCAGCTCCTCAGCTCCCTCTGCGACCGGCAGGAGATGGACCAGCTGCGGGAACAGCTGATCGGTGCCTTCCAGGAGCAGATGGACCTGCGGCGCCAGCTGATGGAGCTGGAGAACAGCTACATGGAGATCCAGATCGAGAGCACCCGGCACCTGCTGACCATTGCGGAGTAAGCACAGCCCTGCCCAGCCCCCACAGAGAGCCGGGGTGTCACTGGGGCTCCAGGAAAACTCCTCCCTCCCTGTATAACTGGCCTGCCGGGCTGGGCGTCTTGAGATCTCCCTGGCTCAGCAGCCGGCGGGGGCTGGTCAGTATAGCCAGGTAATGCCCAGCCAGGTTTACTGCCCTGTCAGTGGGCGAGGAGCGCCACATGTCAGCAGTTGGGCATAGCCAAGGCCCGGGAGGTTGCAATCTGCCAGGGGCTGACGCTCGCGCTCTCCCCTGGCGACTGCAGCTGGGACCAGGAGAAGAGGCACCGGGCGCAGAAGTGCAGGGAGGAGCTGAGGAAGGAAGAGAGCGAGAAGGATTCGGACACCGGGGATGAGCAGCCGGACGCGCCGGAGCCACAGGAAGTGAGCTCGGCCAGGGAGAACATCGCCGCCCTCATGGGGGAGCAGAAGAAGCTGCGCAAGCAAAAGGTTCCTGGGATGGGTGGGGGGGAGGGAGAGCTCGGGGGGAGGTGCTGTGGGACTGGGCTTTGGGGCCTGATGGGGAGAAATTAGCTTGGTGGGTCTCAGCCCAAGGCTGGGTGCCCCCACACACAGCCCACCCCTGCCCCACCGCTGGATTGGCATCAGCTGTTGTGACTGCCAGGTTCTGGTCAGAATTGGTCCGGGCTGGGATAGCAGGGGGGCTGCAGGTTCAGACTGAGGGGCACCAGCAGAGCTGGAGGGCAGGGAGCCCAGGGGTGGGGTGGCAGGGAGCCCAGGGCTGGGGTAGCAGGGGCAGTGGGTTGGGATTGAGGGACACTGACAGAACTGGAGGGTGGGGTGCCCAGGGCTGGGGTAGCAGGGGCAGTGGGTTGGGATTGAGGGACACTGACAGAACTGGAGGGTGGGGTGCCCAGGGCTGGGGTAGCAGGGGCAGTGGGTTGGGATTGAGGGACACTGACAGAACTGGAGGGTGGGGTGCCCAGGGCTGGGGTAGCAGGGGCAGTGGGTTGGGATTGAGGGACACTGACAGAACTGGAGGGTGGGGTGCCCAGGGCTGGGGTAGCAGGGGCAGTGGGTTGGGATTGAGGGACACTGACAGAACTGGAGGGTGGGGTGCCCAGGGCTGGGGTAGCAGGGGCAGTGGGTTGGGATTATGGGGCACTGGGAGAGCTGTGGGGGCTACAGCGGGTCAGGATTGAGGAGCACCAGTAGAGCTGGATGTGGGGCATCCAGGGCTAGGCTAGCAAGGGGGCAGTGGGTCGGGAGGGGCACCGCAGAGCTGTGGGGAGGAGCCCAGGGCTGGGATAGCCGGGGCTGTGGGTCGGGACTGAGGGGCACCAGCAGAGCTGTCGCGGGGGGGGTGCCCAGGGCTGGGAAAGCCGGGGTCCATCTGGCCAGGGGTCCAGTCCATTCCACAGTGACCCCTGGGGACAGGCTGGTCATGTGGGCAGGCCCGTGACACGGGGCCCTGGGCTGCTCTGCACCCGCAGGCGGAGCTGGAGAAGCGGTTCAAGGAGATCCGCCAGCGGGGGCGGCGGCTGGAGGAGGTCCTGCCTCGGCGCATCAGCTCGGAGGAGCAGCGCGAGGTGCTGAGCCTGCTCTGCAAGGTGCACGAGCTGGAGCTGGAGAACACAGAGATGCAGTCCAGCGCCCTGCTGAAGGACGGCGTCATCCGCCACAAGAACTACGTGGTCCGGCGCTTCGAGCAGCACCGCAGCCTCTGTGGCCGCATCATCCAGCAGCAGAGGCAGATCATCCACGGTGCGGGAGTGTGCCCCCCCCCCGGGGCTGGGGGATCCTGGGGGGGCTCTGCGGGGCCCTGGCGCCCCCACTGCAGCCGGCGCCGTGGGGTTGCATGACAACGCGATGATGTCGTGACGGGGCGAGGCTGGGTTGCCATGCAGCGGGGCTATGTCATGGTGATGCCACATCGCGGCGTGATCATGTCAACTCAAGCTCCCCCATCTCCTCCTGACCTGGCCCAAACCCTTTCTCCCGGCCCCAGGCTCGCCTCTGGCCCAGGGACCTGTGTGTCAGGATTAATGCAGGGCTGGGTGCCCCTGGGTAGGTCTGGGGGTGCTCCCCTAAGTCTGTGACCCCCCACTTTCATCTACTCCTCTCCCTGGCAGAATATCACCTCTCAGTCCCGCACCACCTGGAGGAGCTGTATGAGATCTACCTGCGGGAGCTGGAGGAGGGCAGCCTGGACCGGGTTGCCAGCCTGGACCGCGTGGCCGCCAAAGCCCTGAAGGTACCTGTGGGGGGCACTGGTCCTTCCCTCTCGGCTCACACGCCATGGGGTCAGGATATCACTCAGCTCTTTGGAAACAGAGCGGGTCCCTGGGTGCTCTCTGGGCCCTCATATACCCTGGCACAGGAGGGGGTGACCAGCTCCAACCCAGGCAAAGTGAGTGCGGCTTCCAGCCCCCAGATGTGGTCCCTGGGGGGTCAGCATCACACACAGTGGGGAGCTGGGGGGGCCTGAGTGTTGGTGGGAGGGGGCAATCAGAGAGCAAGGTAATTTTCCAGGGGAGGGAGTTGGGGGCTCAGTATGGAGGGGTTTCCTCTAGCCCCAAAGGGCCAATCCACCGGTGAGTGAAGGGCAGAGAAGCTGCAGCCGGCAGGCTGTGTCCTGCAGCACCCCCAGAGGACCCATAAACCGCAAGGCAGCTGGGCTGGGCGTAACAGCAGCTGATTCCCCCGCAGGATACGTCTCTGCCCAAGATCCCCCACCTCCCGGCTGCTGAGAGCGCCCTGGACTCCGACCAGGAGAGCGTGAGGACGCTGGGCTCAGAGCACCAGCCACTGCTGCGGCGTGACTCCCGCAGGCAGGCCCTGCCGCCCCTCGTGCTGGATGCAGAGAGGTAGGGCCCCGCCTGGGGGCAGGAGTGTCCCGCACACGTGGGTGTCTGTGTTCAGGACCCAGCCCTGGGGCTCTGGCTGCCCGCAGATCCTGGGGGAGGCGTGAGTGACGAGAGGCTGGATGCAGCAGGTGGGCAGAGAGGAGGCTGCCAGGCCCAAAGAGGAAGAGCCAGCGGGGGGGGCGCATTCAGAGCAAAGGGAACCTCCTTGTTGCCCCCTCAGCCACAGCCGTTCCCTGATGTGTGGGCCTGGGAGGAGAAATGGACACGATATCAGCAATGGTTTTGTTCATTTACAAAAGTCCTGTTCCCCCGACTGCAGTAGAAACGAACAGCAGCTGGCAGCTTCCTAGCTCAGAAACCCCCACGGCCGCCCCTCCTGCCACTCTCTGCCCAAGCAGCTCCGTCTCCGCTTCCCATCAGTGTCACGCCACTGCTTCTCCTGGCTTCCTGCTGCCATGCCCGGGCTGCAGCCCCTGGCCTAGTCCCCGCGTTTGCAGCTAGGGAAATGTCTGCCATGTGTCTCGGCTCTGACCTGCCAGCTCCAGTTTCCTGCTGCCCCACCTAGAGAGACGGGCTCGACGGCTCCTCCTTGAGCCTGCAGTAGGGCAGCCGGCAGAGCCATTGGCTTTCCTGAGGTCTGGGCTTGGCTTTGGATCCAAGACTCCACCAACAGGAGCCGTTGGCTGCTTTCAGCACAACATCCCGCGCGCGTGAATTCAGCGCTCTCCCTCGCTCTGTGCCGTGTCTCTGCTCTGGGTGTGACGGGCGTCTGTCCCTCTCCGGCAGCGACCCGGCCCAGGTGTTCAGGACCAGCCCTCGGGTGCGGCAGATCAAGAGTTCGGCTGTGCTGACCCCGCCCCCCATCCACATGAACGGCATGGTGACCCAAGAGGTGTGTGGGGCAGCGTGGGAAAGGCCCCGGTGTGGGAGGAGCCAGGGGCCCAGGGCACGGACGCGCCTATGTGAAAGGCAGTGTTGACTAGGCGCTGCACAGAGCCAGGAGTCCTGGGGCTACTCCTGGCTCCGCCACTGGCCTGCTGGGTGACCTTGGGCAAGTCACTGTGCCTCAGTTTCTGCCTTGTCAGCCTGGGCTCTTCAGCCCAGGAGCTCTTTAGGGCAGGAGCTGTTCTTCACTGTCTGTGCAGCACCCGGCCCCCCGTGGCTCTGGGCTCAATGGCGGTTACCAAGTGTGCGGGATTCATAACCGAAAAATCCAGTGGAAACTCTGGGCCAGATTCCGCTCATGCTGCCTGGAGTTGGTCTGGGGTTGCTCTGGGTTTACTCTGGGCAGGGCTGGGCTCTGGGCTTTTTACCGCCTTTCTGCCCTGCCCTGCCCTGGCCAGTCCTATCCCAGCCCGACTGGGCAGGCAGCGAGTGCAGAGCAACGCAGGTATTTCTGCCGGGCAGCGGCCAGACGCGTTCACCTCCCATCTCTCCCCCAGTACCTGCACCGGGGGAGCCTGGCCAGCCTGGAGAGCCCCCCCAACTCCTCCCCGGACAGCAGCGAGAACTGCTCGGACGTCGCTCTGACGCGCAGAGGTGAGGAGCTCTCGGCGCGGGGTGGGGCCGGGTTGTGCCGTCACCTCCTCCTCTGGGGAAGGGAAGGCACAGACGGTGCCAGGATGGCGGCAAACGGCTCCTGCCAGCCACACTGGGGCCTCTTAGAGGCCCCCCCCCCCCCGAGCCCTAAGAGTCAGGGACTTCTGGGAAACACAGGGTGGGGGGTCATGTCCTGCACGCTGCCCCCATCTGGGATGCTCTTCGGTTCGGTTTGGGGCCATCCCATCCCCAAGGCCCCCAGACTGTGGGGAGATAGGGGGCTGGGCAGGGAGGCTCAGGCCCCCAGCGTGGTACGGACTACGACGCGTAGCGTTGCCTGCCCACGCACGCCAGCTGCAGTGTCTGGCCCAGGCTTTAGCAATGGGCCATCTCCTCTCCCCTCCCACCCCCGCCTGCCTGACCACAGCCATGGAGCCACCGCAGGGTACAGGGTAGCCAGTGCTTGCCCTCCAAAATGCTGCAGCAGAGCCCTTGGGGGACGGATCTCTTTCCTGACGTGGGCTGTCTGCCCTCCTGGTGTTAGGGGCACCTCGGGCACAGTGAAGATGAGGCTGAGGGCACAATGCTTCCAGTTTGCAGATCCAGATGGGGGAGAGGCTGGGGGGGGCCAGGGAGGGCCCCAACCCCCCCAGATCTGGACCATGCGACTGGTGCGGCCCCCCGCCCTTACCCAGCCAGGTCCCCCCTCGCTCTCTCACGCCGGTGCCCGCTCTTTGCAGAGCGCAGGGAGATCCTGAGCAGCACCAAGAACATCGCGGTGAAGGCTGCCCGGCGCCGCTCCAGGGTGCTGGAGTCCGACCGGCTGCAGCTGCTGGAGCCCATGAAGGAGCGGAGCAGCCTGTCGCTGCACTCCCTGAGCGAGAGCGAAGACCCCCTCTCCCCAGAGACCCCCGCCTCCCGGGGCCCGCCGTGCCCCGGCCTGCAGCATGCCGCCAGCGAGGACAACCTGTCCAGCAGCACCGGGGAGACGGCCTCGCGGGCCGAGGGCCCCTGCCCCAGCCACTCCCCCGGGCCCTGGCTCCGGGGGCACAAGGAGGCTGGCAAGAAGCTGGAGAAGAGGGAGGAGTCGCTGGACGGCAGAAGGCGGAAACGACGGTCCAGGTCCTTCGAAGTCACCGGCCACGGGGTACGTGCCATCCCCACGCCAGCCGATCCCCTAGGAGCTGCTCCCGGAGAGTCCCTTTGGGGCCAGCCCCCCAGCACCTGCGCTAGCCCTGGACTCCCCAAGGGACGGGCTGGGGCAGTGCATTTGGGGATGGGGCTCCCAGTGCAGGAGCCAGGCACAAGGCAGGCAGGGTTGAGCCGGCGGCTTACCCCCAGTGCACTGCATGCTGGACTGGATAGTCTCCCCCCTCATCTCCCTTTGGCACAGAGCGGGGCGCAGGGGCGGCTGTAACCCTGGATCTGAGGTTCAGGGTTTGGGATTCAGGGCTCTGTCAAGTCACCGAGCTGCCCCCTGGGCTGAGCTTTGCCCCCGAGCCGCTGTGACCGTTTCTCCCCCTCCTCTCCCCCGCAGCTCTCAGGACCGAAGACCAACGTAACCCGGTGCCACCCCCTCGAGAGCAACTCCGAGCTCAGGATGCCAGCGGGGGGGCAGCCAGCGCCGCACCCCCGGGCACCTGGCAAAGCCAAAGGGAGGCTCCCACAGAGCCAGCATGCAGGTGGGTGAGCCTCGGGCTGGCTGGGGCCATGGCGCCCGGCCAGGGCTACCCACGCTGGCTCTGTGCCGGACAGAGCGTGCCCGGGCCATCGCAGTAACTCCTGCCAGGGCATCCCCCTCAGTGCCAGTGGCAGGGTTCTCCAGCCCTTGGGCAGCACGTGGGCATGGGGTCCTGCCTCCCCGGGGTCCTGGCCTCCACTGCACGCAGAACAGGACCCTGGCTTGCTGGAACTGGGCCTGATGTCCCAGGCTGGCACGAGTGGCCCTCTCAGCCCCTCCCCCCGTCAGCCACTGTGGCGGAAGTGGGGGCGCCCCAGGCTGAGCCCTCTCTCTGCTCGCACACCGGGCACTACCCAGCCCACAGCAGGGCCAGCCGCTCCCACGCTGCCCTCCCAGCGTGCCTCCACCCCACCTCGGGGGGCAGCCTCCAGCTCCTTCTGCTGGCCCCGTGGCGTCCCCTGACGCCGCTCCCAGACTTGGTGCCCCCAGGCCGGCAGGCAGCGAAATCCCCAGTCTAGCCTGTCCAACCCCTCCCCCAGGATGAGCTGCATCAGGGGCCCGTTCTCTGCTCCTCCCGCAACGAGCCTGTGGCACTGGAAGGAGAGGACGAAAGCCAGGGACCATTGGCACAGCAGACCTGGGGCCAGCACCCAAGCGCCAGGTTCCCCAGGGTGGGGAGCTGCTGTGGGACCCGGATCGGGGCCAGGCTCCGCTTTGCAAACCTCTTCTGTTTGTTTCCCTCTCCCCCAGGTCTGGGGGACCCGGCATCTCTCCCGCTCCCCCTCCCTCCTCCCGGCAACTTGAAGAAAGGCCCCCAGCCCAGCCAGCACCCCCGCCTGAGCTACATCACGCTGAACGGCACCAACGCTTACGCCAAGGACGGCAGGAGCCGGCGCTATTGACGGGCTGCGGGCAGACAGCCCTGAACTGGGAGGGCCCAGCCCTCGGGGCAGGGGCTTGGGAAGCCTGGCAGGACTGTCCTGGAGGCCTGGCTTGCCCAGCTGCTGCAGGGACTGCTTCAGGGACTGCCAGGAGAGCAGGGCGCATGGGGGCTCCTCTGGGTGGAGCCGGCGCAGGGCCTGGGGCCTGCAGGAGGAAAGGGGTTTACCAACGTGGTTCTCATGGACGATGATTCTCTCCCTCCTCCTGGCTGCCCCACAGCCCTGCTGCTGGGGCCTGTCCCTTCCGCAGCCCTACAGACACGTTCCCTCTACCCCTCCATCCGAAGCGCTTAGACCGCCGCGTCCCCCTTGCCGAGATTACAGGGAGCTCCCTCTGGAGAGTCGCTTGGCTGGCGGCCAGCCGCCCGTTCCCAGCTGGTCGTTCTGTTCACAGCTCCATGCCCCAGCTGCCGTGGGGCAGGTGGGAGCAATGGCATGCCGGGCATCCCGCTGACCCCGTGTGGATGGACGCCAAGCACCCATGCAGCTCAAGCCCCGCGGTTTGCTGCCCTGGTGCCTTCCCTCCGGACTGCTGGCCTCGCCCACCCCTCCCACTGGCCTCCGGGCATGGGCTGGGCTCAGGGTGACACACTCCCTACGCACCCCAGAGCTTCCTGTGACCGCTGCCACCCATATACACCTGCCTGCTACCCCATCATGCCGGCTGCACTGTGCCCAGGGCTCTGCCCCCGCAGGTGCCCTGCACGGCAGGTCGATGCTGCAGCTCTCTGAGGCCGTGGGGACTGGTGCCCTGTCTGCACCTCCGACCTCAGGTTTCCAGTCCCCCATATCACTCCCTTGCTCCCCAGGAGCTGCGGCTCCCAGTCCCTGGAGGGTCTCGCAGTGCTCAGCAGCACCCCCTGCTGGCAGAGTAACAGCAGGACTGGCCTGCTGTAAAGGGAGTGTGGCTGGAAAACTGGTGGCCATGAATCCGGCTGGGGGCACCCCTGGCCCTCCCTCATTAAATCCACAGTGCGTGTGCACCATCCATAGGGAGTTCAGGGCCTCCCGGCTCTGCTCCCCCAGGGCCAACTGCGGCTGAGGATTGTCTGCGAGTGTCTTGTGGGGAGGGCAGGGGGTGCCCCCAAAATGGTCTCCTGCCCTCCCAGATCCTGGGGTGAGTGGAGGCAGGGAGGGGATCTCCCTGGCGTGGCCAGCAGGCAGGAGGAGGGAGAGAATAGCCCTGGTGCTGGCTCAGTTACGCTGTAAATAAAACGTGTTGCCAAACTCTGCATCTGGCGGGGCCCAATCCTGACCTAGCATGGCCAATGGGGCCTGCAGTGCTCAGGATCAGGCCCTTGTGTTGCAGCTAGGATGGCCCAGGATTCCAGCCAGGCCTGGGAGCTCTGCAGCAACAGGGGCTTGGGGCAGGGGGGCTCCCTGCTGGGCCCAATCCAGGGGCTCTCAGTGCCTGCACAGCGCCCGGGTCTCACCCATTGGCTGCGGGGCTGCCCTGGTCTCTGTGGGTATGTCCAGGGACTCTGAACCTGGGGTTTTTACCTGGCAACGTTGTTTTTTATTCCTCTTGTTAAGGCTAAATTAAAAGTGATTTGTTGAGATTCTACGGCCCGGTTCAGTTGTGCTTCTGCAGCCTTCGGTTGCTTGTTTTCCTTGTCTTTGGGGAGGATGGCGCGAGTACCCAGCTCGGGCCCGCTCTGAGGGCCAAGCCGGCTGGCAGCGAGCCCTATGCTTGGCTCCAGCCTCTGCCACTGACTGTGTGACTTGAGCAAGTCATTTAATTCCGCTGTGTCTTGGCTGGTCACCTCTCCCTGTGTCTCGGGGCGGGGTTTGCTGGCGGGGCGCTTGATACCAAGGTTCTGGGTATAAAGGGTTAATAACTAGTACTCCCGGTTAGACACTAGCAGCCATGGCTAGCATGTGGCTCCGGAAGCCCGGCGATGGGAGGCGTTACACACAGTTATAAACAGCCTCTTGGATCCTGACAGTTGATTTAACCGCTAACTGAACCATCTGTTCATCATTTATTACCCCTCTGTAAATGAGCCTTCTCTCCAGGAAGGCCCCCTTCCCAGCTGTGCGGTGCTAGGCGACCCTGCCCAGTGTTTGCCATGTTCACTGGGGCATGAGCTGGGCCACGCTGACCCGGGTGTTTTGGAAGCAATTTGGGCTCAGCGAAGCTTGCCGCTGTTCAGAGCCCCCACAATCGTGGGAACAGTGAGAACCAGAGAGAGGCGCCGGTCTCCAGGCAGGAGTCCCTGAGCGAGGGGCTCTGACCCAGGCTAGGCAGGTCAGACTGGTGTGACGAAGTGGGATTGTTCTTAATGTTTCCTCTGAATAGTGTGGGGGTGCCTCAGTTTCCCCTGTGCAGTTCTTAAGTATCTAGGTGGTGGGGTAAGGGTGTATGATCATTGCAGAGCCCTAGAGGGCAGGTGTGTGCAGGGGTCTGGACATGGAGAATGGCCGACACCCTGTTTCCTGGTAACTGATGGCCTGGGCCCTTCCCCCCTGCAAGGTGAGAGCTAAAGGGTTGGAGAACAAAGGGATCAGGTGACCTGCTGGCCCGGGAAAGGGACAAAGCCCAGAGGAGGAAGGGCTGGAGGGAGTTTCAGTTTGAGGCTGGCTGGGACATGGAGTGAAGTGCAGACGTGGTTGTCTGGTTCACTGCCCCCAAAATGGACCCAGCTGAGGGGTCCTGATCTCTGCACCTACAAGCTCTGTTTTAGACCATGTTCCTGTCGTCTAATAAACCTCTGTTTTACTGGCTGGCTGAGAGTCACGTCTGACTGCGAAGTTGGGGTGCAGGACCCTCTGGCTTCCCAGGAGCCCTGCCTGGGCGGACTGGCTGTGGGAAGCGCACCGAGGGGCAGAGGATGCTGAATGCTCCGAGGTCAGACCCGGGAAGGTGGAAGCTGTGTGAGCTGTGTGTCCTGAAGACAGGCTGCTCACAGAAAGGCGACTGCCCCAGAGTCCTGACTGGCTTCATGGGGAGCAGTTCCAGAGCATCGCCCAGGGACTCCGTGACAACTGGATCATAATGGTCCCTTCTGGCTTTGGGGCCTGTGAGCCCCCAGGGCAGAAGGCCGGAGGTCACCCTGCTACCTGTTGTGAGCAGCGTTTCAGGGACATCCCAACAGAGGGAACGTCCGCGATGCTACAAGACAGCCCCCCTGAAAGCAGCACCACCCAGAGGCTCTTTTTCGGCTGTTTATTTGGAAGTTGGTGTAAGTGGCATTTGTCTCCCGGGCGATGCCTGGGGCCTCTTGGACAAAGAGAAGCAGCTGGTGTCTGTCTGTCCGTCAGGTCCCTGGAAGGAGGAGAGGTGAATGCAGCGCATGCTGGGAATTCCCAGTGTTGGGCTGTCCCGTGCTGCAGCGTGGGGGGCTCTGAGTGGCTCAGCTGGGTCAGAAGGTGCAGCAGAACCGGGGGAGCCGAGTGGGCGAATCCCTCCTGGGGAACGCTCTGAATTCCCTCGACCAGCTCACTTACCCCCACCGGGGTGCCCTGCCCTAGCACTGCCAGGCTGGGACTCCCACCGTGCCGCCTGCCTTGGCCGGGAGCCGGGATGACTGGCCTGGAGGGACACCCAGAGAGCCAGTGATGGGAGAGCACGTGTGAGTGTCGGGTGGGGACCCGGCTGGTTCCTACGGCGGATCCTGCCAGTGCAGACAAGCCCTCCCTGCTCAAAGCCTGGAGTGACAGCGTGTGTCAGACCCTCTTGGGAGCTGGGGGGCGGGTGCACACAGTGGACAACAGAACTAGCTTTAAAAGGGGGGGGAGTGGAGATTGAATTTTGAAGGGAGACACTCAGGGGCTTGGTTTTCAGTGTCCTCCAAGGGGCGGGACCTCTTCCTTTGCCTGTATCCGCAGGCTCTGACCCTCGCAGCACCCTGAGAGCCCGGCCTGGGGGAGACGTGGCATCGTGGTCGTCCCCTGCCCAGCTCAGAGGGGCCCTGAAGTCGGAAGGGGTGGAGCTGCCCTTGCAGGAACATCTCTGGAAACAATCTCGCTGCTTTAATTCACTTCTATCTAGGAACCCCTCCACCCCCAGCTTTGTGAGTTCAGCGGTTCTCTGTGCGGGGCACAGGCCGCCCCCTCCAGGGTCCAGGCCCAGCGCGGCAGGCTACGGGGGTCACCCTGAGCAGCCAGTCCCCAGCACCTTTCCACCTGGCTACTTCCTGACCTTGATCAGCGAGTGGTAGACGGGCTTGACAATCAGGTGCAGGTGCAGGGAGTTGTCGATCAGGTACTCGGAGGTGCGCTTCTGCAGGTCGGCGTGTGCCAGGAAATCGGCCAGCTCGTCCGTGCTCTGGTGGAAGCTGTAGGCGTGTTTCACGAAGATTCGCCCCTGCTGCCGCACCCCCACCAGGACGGTCTTCTGGAAGCTGACGCCCGCGAAGTCGGAGCTGGTCATAGCCGGGGTGATCACCAGCCGGGGCCGCCCGTCCTCGATCCGGATGGACTGGATGGCTCCGGAGACAGAGTCCGCGTAGACGGGGCGCAGGCTGACGGGCAGCCAGCGCGGGGAGAAGAGGACATTCCAGGTCACCCGCTTGCTGGCGTCGTGGTTGCTGGGGCCCAGCTGCGTTTGGAAGCTGGTGCTGCGGTCATCGCGGGCCGGGTTGCTGATGACCCACGGGGCGCCCCAGGAGCCGGAGAGGTAGTTGCGGGGCAGGAACATGCTGCAGTTGACGTCGAAGTACTTGGCGAAGTGGAGGGGGGAGGCGGAGTGGAACTGGAAGGCCTGGAAGAGCAGGTCCTGGATGGCGCCGTAGTGACGCACCATCACCGCCGACTGCTTCTGCAGGTGGAAGAGGTGGCCGGGGGGGATCATGGCGTAGCGGATGGAGCGCAGCAGCTGCAGCGTCACGGGGGCTTCGGGCTGCTTGCGGCCCACCCACTCCTCGACGGCGGTGTACAGCTCCAGCTCGCTGTGCAGCACCAGGTCGGAGCGCTTCAGCAGCAGCCCCAGCAGCTCTGCGCTCGCCGTGGCCCACTCGGCGCCGCCCAGGACGGCCGAGAGGTTCCAGGCCAGGAACTGCAGGCAGCTCTCCTGCAGGCCCACATCCCCGATCTTCACCGCGTAGTGATACCAGCCGACCACGTGGCCCTGGCTGGACTCGCTGGCCAGGTGGCTCTTCATGTACTCGGCCACCCCGCGCTGGAGCGTGGAGACGCGATATTTGCTAGCGAGCCGGTGCAGAGGGATGGCCTGGTGCAACAGGATGGAGATCTCCCCGCAGTACAGGTACCTGGGCGCAAAGAGTGACCCAACACCCCCAGCATTAGCTCTCCCCACACCTAACTGGGAAGGGCAGCTCTGCCGGTGCCCCTCACTCCCGACCCACAGCCCCTGCTGTCCCAGCCCTGGGTCCCCCCCACCCCAGCTCTGCCGGTGCCCCTCACTCCCGACCCACAGCCCCTGCTGTCCCAGCCCTGGGTCCCCCCCACCCCAGCTCTGCCGGTGCCCCTCACTCCCGACCCACAGCCCCTGCTGTCCCAGCCCTGGGTCCCCCCCACCCCAGCTCTGCCGGTGCCCCTCAGTCCCGACCCACAGCCCCTGCTGTCCCAGCCCTGGGTCCCCCCCACCTCAGCTCTGCCGGTGCCCCTCACTCCCGACCCACAGCCCCTGCTATCCCAGCCCTGGGTCCCCCCCCCCCCCCCCCCCCCTGCCCCCCCCCCCCCCCCCACAGCCCCGCTGTCCAGCCCTGGGTCCCCCCACCCAGCTCTGCCGGTGCCCCTCATCCTACCCACAGCTTCACGGCCCCCACCCCCTCACTCCCGACCCACAGCCCCTGCTGTCCCAGCCCTGGGTCCCCCCACCCCAGCTCTGCCGGTGCCCCTCCCCCACCACACCCCCCCCCCCCCCCCCCCAGTCCTGACCCACAGCCCCTGCTGTCCCAGCCCTGGGTCCCCCCCACCCCAGCTCTGCCGGTGCCCCTCAGTCCCGACCCACAGCCCCTGCTGTCCCAGCCCTGGGTCCCCCCCACCCCAGCTCTGCCGGTGCCCCTCACTCCCGACCCACAGCCCCTGCTGTCCCAGCCCTGGGTCCCCCCCACCCCAGCTCTGCCGGTGCCCCTCAGTCCCGACCCACAGCCCCTGCTATCCCAGCCTTAGGTCTCTTTGGCATAATCTCTGATCTTTTAATAAACTATCGGTGTGGTCTGGGGTATCTCTGCCCAGCTTCCCGGTGAGGGGTTGACCCCAGCTCCCTGGCAGCGTGGGCCCTGTAGCCCTGATGCCCTCTCTCTTCTCTCAGCCCCTCTGCCAGTATATTCCTGGCTCATTTTGTGGCTGGCATAGAGCTTGTCCGGCTCTCCCTGTGCCCAGCCTCTCCCCAGCTGGGGGAGGAGATTCCCCCCACCCCACCTGCCCAGGGCAATCAGAGCCCCCCCTACACACACACCTGATGAACTTCTCGAAGAGCGCGGCGCTGTCGGCCGGCTCGTACAGCGTCACCGCGGTCTGGTTGTGCAGGAGGCGCTCGAAGGCTGTGCTCTGCAGGGTCAGGAGCAGCTGGTGGGCGTGGAAGACCTTGACCTCGTCGGAGCCGGGGGTGCGCACCCGCAGCAGGGTGTCGCTGGCGTTGCCGTTCTGCAGC